AACCTGTGTTAGGCAAATGATACAACCTTGTTTGGTAAAAGGGAAGGACTTGAAGTGCTTGTTGCAGAAGATCATCTCAATATCAAGAAAACAAGTCTCACCTTGGATCAGTAGGCAACATCATGACAAATGGGAGAAAAGACTGAAATTGTCAATGACATTATCTTACTTGGATCCACAGTTAACATTAACACTCTTGGTACCGCAGTGAGGAGATCAGGAGATGTATTGCATTAGGAAAGACTTCAGTTACCGATCTCTCCAAATTATTGAGAAATAATGATTTCATTTTGAAGATGACAGTACCTGATTCAGGCCATGGTCTTTTCAGTCACTTGCTCTGCATCTGAAAGCTGGACAAAGAATAATAAATGATAGAATTCTTGCCTTTGAGTTATGCTGTTGGAGAAGAGTACTGAATATTGCATGGACTGACTAAAGAACAAACACATGTATATTGGGAAAAGTGCAGCTTGAATGCTACTTGGAGGCAAAGCTGATGCAACTTTGTCTGTACTTTGAGTATGTTACTAGGAGAGGCTTTTTCCTGAAGAGTAACATGCTAGGAAAGGCAGACTGTTGACAGAAGAAGACTCCTAACTTGATGAATTGATAAATTGCTTCAATGGGCTTAAGCATGCCATAAATAATGATGATGTCACTGGATAATATAGGGTTCAGATCTGTTTATAAGATTGCTGTGAGTAGTGAGGGCTCAACTCAGTAGCACCTAACACGAAGTACCTGTAGGTTTGTAAATGATTTAATGTGTTCAGTTGATAACCAAAAGAAGGTTAAATCTACCCTGAAATACTTGGGAAAAAAGTCCTGAAAATTGGCTTTGGAAACATCATTGGGTAAAACCATCTAAGGAGCACAGTTCTACTTTGACACCCTGGGGTCTCCATGAATTGGGAGCTGGCTTACGGGAATGGTTTTGTTGGGTAGATTCCCATCCCCAACCTCCCCTGTTAAAAAGCAAATCCAACTCCATGTAAGAAGTGTTGGTTAATAGAAGATGCTGCTGTTGGAGGAGAGCCAGAGGCTTGACCCTTGGTGTATATTTTCCCACTGAGTAAAACCAAACAAACTCCTGGAGACAACTCATAGGTGACTTTGTAGTGGATCTTCTGAGGTTGTAAATGATACAGAGCTGCTGATAGAATTATCCAGTTTTCAGATAGAGGAGCAACTCTCTTTGAACTGTGAATTCTGTAGGACAGACAGCCGCTTTGCCATCCTTATGGACTGTTCAGAGGACTGGTGGCACCAACAGGAAACTAGCACCCCTTGGTCCCACAGGATGTAGCCACTAAAAGTTTTATTGCAGAAATTGTCGCTCTTTGGATTAAGTTGATAATTCTTAATACCTGTTTGAGGGTTCATTCTGTCCTCTGCTTCATCACAATTTAGGAATTACTCAGGTAAGATGAAAGAATTTGGACTGTGTGAACCAGGTTAATTTCTGTTTGGGAGAATTTATCATTTTCCAGCAAAATAACTTTTTCGAAACATTTATTTGCAGAAATAATTTCTAAAGGATCTAACCACTTTTTAGCTAAATTTTAGGGTTTTTTTTTACTTTTAAATTTAATCCCATGATAATACTCAATGTTGAGAAAAATGCAGGAGGAAATATTAGGCCTAATTTTTTTAAAAAAACCTATCTGTTGAGCCTTTTGACCTATATTAAAATAAGAAACATCCACATAATCAACAGGAAATGACAAATTTAGCTCTCAGAGTTGAACTTTGTGTTTAACACCTGCTTAACAGGTGTTAGTGATCTGTCTAAATTTCTTTAGGTCAGCAGCTACTAATAAAAACATGGGAATGTAGTGCAACAATGAATGAATGAAAACCCTAAATCTCTGTAAATGTTCGTTAACATTAATAAAATTTAATAATTAAAAAAAACAAAAAACGTGGGAATGTATTGTCTTAATGGCAGATGTGAACTTGTCCCTCTGCTGGCTTCCTTTGTTGTTGCAGGACTTTCAGATTCTTTTTTGAGATCTTATTATGATAAAGGCTGTTGATATTCTGGCCTAAGGTGAACTTTGAATATAATCAGCTAGTATGTACTGTTGCCCAGTTGAGTGATTTTATAAACATATTTCTTAAAACTTTTAAGTGTAAAGTAGTGTTAAATTGAAGTTATTAAATTCCAGAAGTGTGGCATCAGATAACATGACTTTTTTTTTTTTTTTTGCCAGTTAATGGTACAGAATTATGGGTATTAAATCACAAATAATTTGCATTTTTGAGTGTTAAATGATCTTCTGTAAGAACAAAAAATAGTAACCTATGGTGCTGATAAATAGCGAATTTTGATTTTTGGTGGGGTGACAATTCACAAACAAGTACATTTTTATTTTGCTCCCTCCAGTAGTAAGTGCGTTGTAAAAGATACGCAAAGAGCAGAATTGCATAGGAACTGTCCTGAAGTCCAGTGACCTTAGGCCTTTCTGCTGTGCTTTAGAAATTCATGTTTAAATACCTTGGTTAATTTGGACATTTCTATAGAAATATTTGTATATGGAGAGAGGTGAAGAAAAACATTCTTTTATACATAAACGGCATTAATTTTACCATTTTCTCCATTTTTATAGTACTTATTATTCAATTTCTTAATAGTGCGATGATTTTTTACTAAACCCTTCACCTTAAAAAAGGACCTTAGGCAAAAGATAAAACTTCATTGGGTGCAGGAGGGATCAAAATGTTTTTTACCTTTTTCCCCTACTTTTTATCTTGAGTTTTCTAAAGTTTACGGCCCGTAAAGAACTCAATTTTACTTTATCTTGTATATTATAAATACTCTGAAAATGAGTTGAGGTTATATATTTTTAAGTACAAACAGGAAGGCATTTATATGTAGAAAAATCAATGGGGAAGCAATCAGCAACAGGAAACTAAGCAAAGGAATAGTATATAGTTAATTTAACTATAGAGATGCTATATTAAAAATGAAGAATTTTTATTAAATACTACTGTATTTTATTAAATATCTTGTATATATTGGGTATGACACAGTCCACCTTGGTTTAGAATTGTGTCAAAGTGAATCTCCTTGATAACCAACAGGACTTCAGAAGCAAGAAGAAAATGTGACTTAAGTTTGGAAAGTCTTAATGAGATTCTAGCTGATTCTTTAGCACTAGAGTGACATTGGGTTATATCTTTTAATCTTGAATATTTACCTCACCAAGTTTCTAGGGTCAAGTTTGCAAACAAGTTACCAAGAGCGGTTATTATAGTAGTGCTTCCAGGCATTGCCTCTGGAGGGGAGAGGGCTAGGTAGTGTTTAAATGAAACTCTGTTTTGTTACGAAAAAGTAACTTTGATTTTAGTGTTTGAATTTAGTTTAAATAAATTTAATAAATCAGACTTTCTCCCAAGTTTTAAGTTTCTCCTATTTTAACTTGCATTTTCATATTATGGTTTTTAAAAACTTAAGTGTTAATATTTTAGTTGTATTATTATCATAAAGGTCATAATACATTATAGGTTCTAGAATTATAAATACGACTAATTTTCTGGCTTGAGTATGAGAGCTTACTTTATGACTTTAAATTTCGGAAACATTTAAATTATCTAAAATTGAGTAAGTTGTAGGCAGTAAAAGGGAAAAGTGAGTCAGTGCTCAAAGGTGGGAATGAACATTTCCCGTTTAGTAAGTTCATGAGGAAATATGCAGTATTACAGTTAATAGTACATGTGAGAACTACGTGAGAGGCAGTATAGTATGATACTGTCCAAAATGATTTCAGCTTAACATGACTGTTGTAGAGGAGAAAGGGAGAGTAAATCTGTTTCTTTCTTCCTGAAGACTTCTGTGACATTTGAATATAGTTATTAATTTGAAATTTATAGGGTGATGTCTTATTTTCAATATAATTTTAATAGAGGACTCTTCTTGAGCATCCGTTTGAAAAATGTACATGCCATTTAATCTACCACTTTCTTTTGTGCTGACTAGATTATGAGATGGATTGACACAGTAACTGGGGCGGTGGGACTTGGTGTGTTGAAATTAGTGAGACTGGCTCAGGACAGGGAGGGGTTCAGAGCTTCTGTACATCCGGTCGCTATATGTCATAGGCAACTCAAAGGCACATAACAACAATAACATACTCTGACAGGTTTGGAAGCAGGAGTGGCATCCACTTCCTAAATAGCATGCCTCCAGAAACTCTGAACTTTGATAAATGTTGATAGTTGTAGAGGGTCGCTATGAGTTGTGCTCGACTCGAAGGCAATCAACAAAAACAGGTTATGATTGCTGTTTGTGAAATATCTGTAAATTTGTTAATTCAGCAAATATTAAGATATTACTACGATGTGGGAGGAAGTGTTAATTCTCTAAGTACCTAATAACAAGTAGAAACATACTCCTTTTCCCCCACCACTAAGTAATCAACCTTCTTAGCTTGTTAGTTTTGCTTGTTGGATTGTTTTGAAACGTCCATGGAGCCAGTTGGCAGTCCTTCACTCATCTCCTTGGTCTCTTAGTCTGGACACTGATGACATGCAGGGTTATGCAGCACTCCTCTGTGCTGCTAAGAAAGCCCAGAAAATGCTTGTGTTCAAATTTGTTGGAACCAAAAAAATGTCGGACTACTGAAATTTAACTCTTAGGATCACTTAAGACATTAACTTACTTTTAATGACATAAATATAAATGCTTGTTATAAAAAACACACAACATCAAAACAAACACACAACCTCAGTCTATGTCCAGAGAAGGGGAAAAAAATTAAAAATAACATGGTCTAGAAAAAAAAAAGTGCCACCTTTTTCCTTTACCTGATTCAACTCTTCTCACGATAAGTCACTGTTGTAGTTTGTATGTCCTTAAAAACTTGCAGAATGTGCAGTAAAATATGTGTAGATTTTATTAGCCAAACAGGAGCAATCTTGTATGTCTAAGAATTGAAATAAAATTTCTATAACACAGGTGAAACTTTAATAAAATCAAATACACTTTTTGGCTTTAGGGAAGAAACCCTTTTTTCTTGGAGCCAGCAATAATTATTACAATTACTGATGGGAGCAAGTTGACTACTACCAGTGGAGTCCAAGATGAGGTAAGTTTTGCTTAAACTTTGATTGTACTGATGTATTTTGAATCTATTTGAATATTTATTCTGGGATATTGAGCACCTTCAGTAGCTTCTCTTGATTATTTGATATAATCTAGATTTATCTAGATCTCTTTGTAGTAGAGGTCTCTAATTTTTTAATAGGAATACCTCTACAGAAGTTTTGAGCATACCCCTTATTTCATATATACATGAATGCATGTGTTTATGTGCAAGTGACAGTGACATTTCATATAGGAAATACTAATAGAGTGACTTTTTTCAAATGAAGAAACTAGAAACACCATTCTAATACTTTTTTTCTGTGTTTGAATGGATTGTTAAAAGCACTCCACTGTGGAGACTCTTAACCTAAAGGATAGCAGGCCAACAGGGCCTTTAGATTTGGAGAAATGGAGAGTTTGAAGGTTTTCTCCATGTCAGATATTGACAACTACTTGGCAACTCACCTCACCTGTCCTCTGTTAGCATGCTTTGTGGAGTGTTAACCTCAGGTGGGAATGCAATAGGCTTTTGTTGTTTTTGAAAAGAATTTTCTGGCATGTGACAGAGATACCATACGTTGGTTCTAGACCATTGTAAAAAGTGAATATTTGCAATAAAGCAAGTCAGTGAATTTTTGTGTCTCTCAGTACATTTGAAATTTCTGTTTACACTGTGCTGTAGTGTTTTAGATATGCAAAATCATCAAGAATTTTGAAATAGTGTGAGACTTAAAGATGTGGGATGGAGAGACACAGTGAGCATGAGCTGTGGGAAAACTTACCCATAGACTTGCTTGAGGTTACAAGAAATCTTGTTTGTTAAAAAAAAGCACTATTTGCAAAGTGCAGAGAAAAGAGATATGTTAATCAAGTGTTTAATTACGGTTTGAACTGGTAAACATTTTGTTTTTTAAAAAATTGATTTGGAATAGTTAGATTAATCTCTTTGCTGTTTTTATTTTACTTTAGGCTTTTCATTTTCATTTCCGTTATCTTTACAAAGAATTTGCTTAATTAGGAAAAGTACAGATTTTAAATTTGAGACATTTTAGCAATATTTCCATTCCTGTAATATTGTAGAATGCCAGTCGGATGTGGAGTCACTTCATCTTGACTCAGCTTCTTTCTAGCCTGTTCTTAACTTTGTAAAATATGTAACTTCTCTGTTTTCTTATCTAAAAGATAGATTTTTTTTGCCTTGTTTCTGAGGATTGTTTGGACGTTTGAAAAGAAGGTACATGGAAGTACTTTTGTACTACTCAGTTGGAACCGACCCATAGCTGACCCACCAGCAGGTTTTCAAAGGTAGTTAATCATATGGGAAGAGATTGCCCATCATTCTCCCATGAGGCAGCTGGTGATTCAAACTGTGTATGTACCTTTGGCAATGCCAAAGCTAGCTAAAAGAGAATGTAGTCGAGAATTTTGAATTGCCTGAGCTTGATTATGGGGAAAGTGAGCTAAAATTGTTTTACTGAACAATTGATATGCAAGGAAATTTAGAATATAATTCTTGGATATAGACATTTAAAACTTGAGTAGATTGTAATTAGTAATTAGATAAGTTTAGTTTATGCTAAATGCTCCGTAGTTGTAGCTAATTGTTTTTGGGCTTTCTTAGACTTGATTCCTCCATAAGAAGTACTCTATCCAGACCAGTCTATTTTACAGAAATGTCGTTTGGAGTGTAATGTATTTTACTCCATGTATATTTATCTGTAATGTTTGCAATATTTGTTTTATGGGATCTCCTTGAACTTTTTAAGATATATTGGAAACATAGATGGATCTTGACATTGCCTTTCATTCTAGGCCTTTCTTTGCTATTTGAGAAATGTGACCATGTATGATCAGAAATTACCTCAGAATAAGGTTGGCCAAGGGTCTTATGTTCCCATTTTTATTACACTGTCTACAATATTTAGCCATTGTACTGAGAGCACAGATTGTATTTTTTAATAGAATTGATTATAGACATTGATGTGTTGAATCTGATATAAAGTCCAAGATTGATTACTACTGTCATTTATCTATAGTGAAAGGTTTATTTTAAGGCATAGGTTTATTTGGAACATAGGCCTTAGAGTTGTTTTGAGTTTCAAGTTGAGGAATGCCTTTGAATCTTTGAGTGTGTAATTTTTAGGATCCCAACAAGACTCATCTTGTGGGAAAAAGAATATGCCATAGATGTATGTGTTATTGAAGCTTTATTTCTGCACAGATGTGAAATATACTGATCTTGTTTAGTCTGAATAATTAAATAAAATGATTCATTTTAAAGGAATCTTTTAATTTCTAGAAAAGTATCATGATAGTTTTGTTTTGCTCTTCTGTGTGTGTATGTATGCTAAATATGATACTTATTAAAATTCCTACTAAGGAATAACAAACATAATTGTCTTTTTATACCTCTTCTCTTGAAATTTCTGATCTTTGGAAAATTTGGTTCTGTTTTGGAGTTTATCTGTTAACTTCCCATTAGGGATGTGCATGTGAAAATGGTTCTTAGGTGGGCTGTGACTGCTGTTTATGTGACCTGTTACTATGTAAGGAGTTGTACATTCTGCCTGTTTCATATTTTTTTATGTTCTCTAACACAGTATGCTAGTTACACCTATTCTAGTGCTTCCTTTTTTTTTTAAGAGTAAATATTCCTTCTACTTTAAAAGGTATCCTCATAATGTCTAAGGAAATTTACTTAGTCTTTGTTTTTTATTTTCTAAATGAGGAAATTGAGATCCAGAGAGATTAAATGATTGGCTCAAAAATGTCTTATTATCAAAATTAGATAAAAGTTTATATAAATTCCAGAAATATCTGGCCTCTTTGGATTAGTGATTTTTTTCCCCTCCAAATATACTACTGCTTTTCTGCATGTTAGGGTGTAATTTTAACATTTATCTTCCATTTCCCTGAATTCTTGTCTGCTTCATCTTTTTATGTAGTAGGGATATAAGTGTTCTTATTCATGCAGTTTTTCACATGAAAATAGAGATTTTTGTGACCAGGGTATCCCTAGGCAGTGAGAATAAAATAATTGAATAATTTCTGCATTTTCAGTTCACAGTCTTTATGGGGGACGTCATCTGTTAAAAACTTTTTCTAAGGCGAGCTCTGGTGGCCTAGTAGTGGCAAGAAGCTGCACTGCAATCCCAGAGGTGTGCAGTTCGAATCCATCAGACGCTCTGTCAAAGAAGGAGGGGCAATCTCCTCCTGTACCAGTCAGATCTGATTGGACGGTACACACACACAAATAATAATAAAATTAAAAAAAAAAATTAAAAAACAAACAACCAAAAAACTTTTCCTAAATGATGAAAGACCGATACAAACTAAGTGTATAGAGGATATTGAAGAGGGAGGCTTAATATTGTCTGTGTTCCTGTTAAGTCCTGTGTAATGTGAAATTTTATAGTAATTTCACTTTTGGTTGATGATATTCAGTGTGTTTGTGGCTATATGATTCAGTATACGTCTGTGAACCTTGAAAAGAAGTCTGGTATAAAGCTGTTTTGAGCCTAGAAAAGTTGGTGCCGTGTTACTCTTGTTTAAGATGTGCAGGCCAAAATGACCTAATTTTCTATAATTTTTTTTCTAAAAATGATAGCATTTTGTTTTGAGTTAGAAGAGTAACAGCATTGTATTATAAGTGAAAATCTTGAGCTGTGTGTTCGTTTACATATTCATTCTTGACTTTATCTTCTATGGCCTCATAAAGTCCAGTATTTTTTGTGGTGTCATGCCTGTGTTTCTGCTATAGTATTTTTAGATAAGCATGTCTAGGGCTTTTGATGGCCACTTGGATTTGAAATATATGTGGGGTTTTTTTTCCCTTTTGTTTTTTAACTGGAGCTGTTAAAACCAATTGTTTGCCTTGTTTTCATTTGTGAGGCATATTTTAGCTAGAATTGTAAACACTGTGTTACCCTCATTGGTAAACATACTTGTGGCCAGATTCATCATGTTAATTTACTGCTGTATCAACTGCTTCAGTAGAATGAATAGATAGTAAGTAGAGTTACTACGTTATTTTTCCTAGTTTCTTTTTCCTGCAAAGAATCATCTCTAGTACTGCTTGTAGTGGAAAACTATTTTGTACTATGATTCCAAGAACATGTGGCTAACAGTATTGCTCAATACACAGCACTGGTGAAGTCTTGCCAGTGGCTTCTTGGTGATGAATGACATTCCAGGGTAGTGTAGCAGTTATTTTTCTCATCCTTGAAAGTGCTGGTCACAGTACAGGCATTTCTGACTTAATGTACAACTCACTGTAGTTAGCCACCCTTGTAAGGCTTGTTATGTTAAAATCCCATAGTTCACAGTAAGAGACAGGCCCTGTTTGTCACTTGTGTCAAAACATTACTGTTATTTGGAGATGTTTCTTTAATGTTTAACGCATAGAAAGACAAACTTTTCACTGACTGTTGTTACATGTACTACGTTATACCCAATTGGTTGTGCATTTCTGCTTGATGGCAACAAGTGTGAGTTTCTCCTTTTAAAAAGACTTGTGAAGTATGGCTGCTTCCTTACTGTATATGAGAGAATGTCCCAAATAGATCTGCTGAAATATGTGTTTGAGATTTCACTTTTATCCCTTAGTTACCTTGCCAGTTCGTTGTTGTTATTGTTAGTGACTCAGTAGCAACTTCAGGTTTAACTTAAAGCATATTGTTTGGTGATTCAGATGTTCTGAATAGATGTGCAGCGTTACTGTGTATGTTGTTAGGTATGTTGACTGACTCTCAGCGAGACCCTGTCTGCTGGAGGAAGCACTACTATCCTGCTTCTTCCTCTCAGTGAGGTTATTGTTACTGTCACTTTACCACATCATCTTGAGGATGATACTCTTTTTACCTTTCCCAGCATAAATTACCCCCCCTCCCCAGGACTAGCCCCTCCTGACAACATGCCCAAGGTATATGAGATGAGCCTTTATTTTTCTTTTTCTACGTATCAACCTGGCTGATGACTTCAAAGACAGATTTGCTTATTACT